AGTCCTGATGTCAGCAAAAGTCCATTAAGGGTTACCAGAGATAACAATGTATCTATTTTAAACTTGATCAAGTAAACCAACTTTATATTCCTTCCTTTTACTTCTAACAATCTTTATTCCCTTCAAATAATGTCCTAGAACTTGATTTCATTTTTTCTTTGTCCCTTCTCACAAAATACTTCAAAGCTTTAACAAGCCTCTTTTGTAATTCCAATATAGGAAAATCTGGTTTGTTATTTGTATATCCCTTTTAATTATTGTATATCCCTTTTAATTATCAGCTGGTTTCTTTTGTATATCAGTATAGCATCTTTTTTTATGTCATCCTTGTAGCCTGTCATTTTTAAATCCACTTTCAAATCAGTCTCAATCATGTCAGGTAATACTTATTCCTCTTCCATAGCATCTTTTAAACATAGTCTATCTATAGAGGCAGACACTCTTAAAATTAACTTCTGGGTCCATTGTTCAAGAATATCCCTCAATATGTCCATTGTTGAAATATTTTGCTTCACTCTGTATTAGTAAGTCAAGTTTGAGTTTTCTTCTCTTTTAATTGTAATCTTTAGTTCCTTCTAGTTCCCCGTAGTGTCCAATTTTTAGTCTTTTTTATGATTTTTTAAAGAATTCAAAACAAAAGCATTTTCCCACAGGAAGGATTCTTTATAATTAATTCCAAAATCTTATTTCAAATTTATCTGGACCCTTAGTCTGTTTGTAACTTTCTAAAATCAAAGTTTTAACCACCCTTTTGCTTTTTTATGATTTTTTAAAGAATTCAAAACAAAAGCATTTTCCCACAGGAAGGATTCTTTATAATTAATTCCAAAATCTTATTTCAAATTTATCTGGACCCTTAGTCTGTTTGTAACTTTCTAAAATCAAAGTTTTAACCACCCTTTTGCTATTTATTCCAGAATTTTTGTTTTAAGTCTTAAACTTGTATTTAAAACTTCTTTTGCTAAGGATTGAAGGAAACTCACCCAATGCTGTAAAACTTGTCAATCCAAAGGTTCCTAATAGCTGAAAAGCAGTTAATAAGCAATTTATGAAAATGATTAGAAAAGGAAGTATGAGAGCCTAGTGTCCTTTTTAGAGGCACTGATGGTTTGAGCAAGGTGGCTATTCCCTCATCTCCCAGAGCTCTAAACCCACTGGAGACTGCTATCTTGTGATCTCCTTATGAGGAGCAATTGTCTGGAGCACTTGTGGGTGATCTCTTCTTGTCCGGAGAGGAATTAGGAAGAGCTAGTCCACTAGCCTGCTCTTCATTCCGCTGCGGTCATCGGCTCCACTTTTCATGAAGCCATGTTCAGTTCACCATTTCTTCCCCAGAAGTCCCAAGACATTTCTTCATTATCTTGTGGACATTGATCCCAGGGTCAGGAGAAGCCAGCCTACTAATTTAGCCCCCCCATTCCACCCCCAAATGTGGTGATAAGCAGAAATCAAGCAGTCAGAAGAGTAAAGCTGCTGAATAGCAGGAACTAGTAATGGTTTGAGGTTGTGGCTGAAACCTGATTGACCTTGATTCCTGGTGACTTCACAGTTTTGTTTACACATACACACACACACACACACGGCAGCAATACGGAAGTGGTTTGCTGTTGCCTTCCTTTGAAGTACTTTTTTCAGCCTCCCAGTGTAGCTTATGGCCTTTCCAGCCTCCCATCCAAGAACTACAGTAACCTGTCCTGATTAAGTTCTGAGTTCTGTAAGCTCAGCCAGATGCTGCCAACTACTGCCATGTTAAAAAAAAAAAAAGATATACTCTTTAGCTTTTAAAAACAGACAAAGTCTTTTCTGTGGCCAGCTTAGCAAGACAGTAACTAAGAACAAGCCAAAAGCTAAGCAGTTGCCAGTAAGCTGAGTTGCATTACAAGTTGATCTTGTCCTCTTCCACCCAAAATATGACCCATAAGGCAAAGTCTATGGTACATATGCCCTTCAGTGCAGGAGAATGACAGGAATGTCAGAAAGAGTGGGATAGGGCACTCACTCCTGCTGCAGTCATCACTATAAATCCTATGCATTGATGACAATTTAATTCAGTTTGGTCTGGACCAATTCCAATGGCACAGTGAATCTATTTCTGTTCCCAGAGGACTACAAGCTTTTGAGTGAAGTTTAAATAAGCAGTATTAAGGTGTGAGAGAGTTCGTTTGGTGCAGAGGTTAAGGCACCAGGCTAGAAATGGGGAGAACGTGAGTTCTAGTCCCACCTTTGAAGCGTGCTGGGCTACCTTGGGCCAGTCCCTCTCTCTCAGCCCTAGGAAGCAGGCAAGGGCAAATCACTTCTGAAATCTTGCAAAGAAAACTGCAGGGACTTCTCCAGGCAGTTGCCAGGGGTCAAGACTGACTCAAAGGCACCAAAAGAAAAGAGAAAAAAAGGTGTGGCTGCAGGACAGAAACAGCTTAGTCTCATAGTTGCATTAGCATCTATTGCCTGATTCAAGAGAAGCTCAAGGTGAAGATTCTCACTGTGCATAGAGATAATCAGGGAATGGCATATTATTTGCAGATAATCAAACATGTTAGGAAAAAGCAGACAAGGTGGAGAGGCATTAATTGCTCTCTGGAGATATACAAGATGCAGGGATGAATCTGGGAGATGGGAAGACACAGGCAACCTCTCCTTGCTGATTGCTGGAACTCATTGTTCAGCTGGTTCCACCTGTGGGATCTGGAGCTTGCATGGGAACTGTTTAACCCCCCTCCCATAAATTAGGAAGTCCTATAGGAAGAGCTGTGTGTCTGCATCAAATGATCACCAGTAGCTTTGGTGACTGCATTCTGGTCCCCACAACCAATTCACACAGCTCATGTGCCCAACATTCAGAGATGGATGTGTAAAAGAGGATGTGGGAAATAATAATTAAGCTCGAAACAGATTATAGATTCTTAAGGGAGTTTGCTTGAGAAAGGCTTGGCTTTCCAAGGCAAACATACATGTGATTTCTTATCTTCTGCCACTGAGATAAGTGGGATCTGGGTGGTGTTTGAAATGGCAAACCACATTTTTAGTGGTGCAAGTTAAAAGACTAAACACCAAAAGTAGCAAATCCAGTTTCAACTCTCTGCTTCATCCAACACAATTCTCATGGGTGGAGTGTAATTTCCTTGCAGTTACTGAATGATGAGGTGTCTGAATGTCCAACTTTTTTGTACAGTCCTGCCTCCAGTGGCTTTCCTGCTTTTTCTGCTTGAATTAAACTTGAAATGAAGCCCCCCCCCCCCCCCCCCCCCCGGGTCACTTTCAGATGGAGGTTTCAGAGGGATGGAAAAGAAGAATAACCCAAAACAACATCAGCAAGAACATCTTGCAGCACCTCCAATAAAGCTCACAATGGCTTCAAGAGAATTTTGAAAGCAATTCTGCAGCATCCTTGGAATAAAGTAGAATAATGGATGCCTCACTGGTAGAGGAAATACATTTTTAGAAAATGTAAGGCATGTTTTGGAAGAGTATTACATAAGACACCAATCTTGTGCTGTCCTGGGGCTCTGCTGTGGGGGGGAGGAGCAACTCCTGTTTCGAGGTACTATCCAGTGAGGCTAACAACCAAATAAAATCATAAGAGTAATAAAAATGTATTGATCTGCAACATAGGCAGAAACTAGGGATAAAGTATGACTACAAACAGAAAATATCTAACAAGCAAAAGGCATGGAGCAGGCATGTCTTTAGCAGTTGGGGCAAGATAACCAGAAAGAAGGGATGCATGCTGAGAGAACAGCATGGTTTCATGGGGGAGGGGGCAGACACTGAGAAGGCCTTGCTTGAGATTGCTGTCTTGTGGGATACAAAAAGAGGCATCTTTAAGGGGCAAACAGGATGATTTGGAAGCAAATGATTCCCAATGATAGGAAACTCCCTTAACCCTTGCTTCTTGAGTGCAACAAAGGTTGGACCTAGGACTTCTTGAATGCATGAAGAAGATGCTTCCCATCTAATTACTGCCTCTCGATTTGTGCCTACCTTCCACAAAGAATGAAATAGCGAACATGAAACGGTCCAATCCAATAGGCATTTTGGTCAAGGAATAAGTGATTATATCCGCTGCTCCAGAGATGCCAAAGAATAAATACATGGTGGAATGTTGCCAGTTCATCAGCTTCACCCAACTTCGTGGCTGCCCACTGTAGAGATACAAGTGGGGACCATCGGGGACAAACTGCTCAGCAAGAATCCCTATTCAACAGAGACCAAAGTTGAATAGATCTGTTAGGATGAAAATTCACTTGAAGGGAAAGAAACATGAGAAAGCCCAGGAATGTTGGCAGGATATGGTTTGAAAAAGTCAAGATTTGACACACATCAAAAACAGGCAGAGCTCCAATTACACCTTTGTTGGCACTCTCTTGACTTTTTAAAAGCACCCTGTGAACGCCACTGGCAAAACTATGGCAGCATTGTGAGTACGTAGCAGGAACTTGTGCAATTTCTGCATGCTTCTGGCTTTTCCAGCGACAGCCGATGCTTCCCCCTCAACATCGCCTTTACAACTGCTTCCACCTGATTAAAAACCCTTGCAGCCCACCCTCCGTTAAAAAGAAAGAAAGCATTGCACAATCTATAAAACATAGATCAATATATTTTCTTTTTAAAACCGCAACAGATATTGACATGACATAATCTAAAAAAACAAAAAGTGGTGGCCAGAAAAAAAAGGAGGGGAACCCCACAAACAGTAGCAAGTATTCCAAATCCATTTCAGATGATTAATCTAAATGGATCTTGAGACAACAGGGCAGTTAATGATATAATTTAGTCGCTTATTTGGCTAGATTTATTCATTAAAACAATTTGATTATTACAAAAGAACTAAGTAGCAGATCTGTTAGAATTTATATCATTATTAATTCAGCTAAGGATCAAAACTGCATATGCTAAAAGCCTGTTTCCTTTTTACAAGGATTATTTAATTCCAGTGCAAATTAATATGGATACCCAACCCAGCCCAAGACATGCCTATTTAGAAGTAAGTCCCACCATGTTTGACCTTGGGGGCTGTGAAATGCAGGAGATACAGTCCCATCAAATTTGAAGAGTGTTAGGTTAGGATGGTTGACTTTGCACTGTGGTGAACTGTGCAAATAACATCACATCTAGTTTACCCTCCAGATTTCTCTGATGTAGGTGACTGGTTTGCTTAAAAGGCACAGATCCAAAGCAAAGAGAGTGATAATCAGCCACCCTCAAATGCTTGGTCAGTTGTCTTATTCTGAGTCTTACCTACTGTTGCAAAGCCAACTTTGACTGCCCCTTCAATGATCTCCAGATGTTTGAAGTTCCACTGTACGCGACTGTTCTTGTTCAGTGACCTGCTGATATATTTTAGCGAGCACCTCACTGACCACCAGAGGCCAAACAATATGAAGAAACTCCCTGGAAGAGCGTGGCCCTTAAAATTTGCCATTCTGGTCCAGTCACCTCCTGGGGAAAAGAGCATTCTGATGTCAGAATCGTTCAGAGAAATGTCAGTTGTGACTACAATACGATTGACAGGTGATAAGAGTTTTATGGGGAAATAATTACTTCTTGAATGAACTGGGACTTAAACAACTGGTTTTTGCTTGGAATAAATTCCTTGCTTTCAACTTTGAAGTCTCAATCTTCTTACTGCCTCAACCTGCAATTTCTGTAACAGTTTGAGATGTGCCTTTTTTTCCCTTTCTTTTTGCTATGTTGGTGTCAACCCTATGAGGTAGACCAGGTCAAGAACCAGACACTGCAAAGGTTCCAGGAGTGCTCCTTTATTGTGGAAGAGTATATCAACACAGTATTTGGAAAGCCCATCCAGAACCTTTACTGCCCCCTTTTAAAGTCATTCTGAGTCTCCCACCACTTTCTCAGGCTGGAACTAAATTCCTCTACATATGACTATTTTACCACTGATTACTTAGGAGACCTTCCCTGTATCATAGGAAAGCAAGTTCCTGGTCATGAGTCTTTGTAACAGCCATCTCTAACATAATGCCTTTTCTTATTGGGACGGGAACTTCTAGAATGCTCAGCCAGATTTCTCCATAATTGGCACATACTTTCCCCAGCTTATAGGCATATTGGCTGGGAATTTGGGGTATTGTAGTCCCATCATATCTGGAGGTGAGTGTTGGGCTTTTGCGAAAGCCAGGGTTTGCTAAACATTCCATCAGTAACCTTATTTCTGCCTCCATTCTGGATGTGATTTGTAATTTCCTGCACATGTATTAAGCAACAGAAAACTTGACCCAAGCTAAATATCTATACTGTATTTCATAAATAGAGAATCTGAGGCCTGGAAATCTTTAACCTAATACAAATACAATACAATACAAATACTTTAATGACCAAGTATAAAATATACACAAGGAATTTGTCTTCGGTGACGAACAGCAAGATCAATAGTGCATTTGGATAGCAAC